AGTTTGCTTGTGGCTTTATCGGGTCAGTAAACGATCACTGAGTGCATTGGGTCGGCGGTCAGTAAGAACTGGCCCCAAGCGTGGCACAGGTTTTGTAGGTCGCCTATAAGTACGACAAAACTGGGCTTGAGGCACGGAATAAAACCAGTGTCTCATTATTAAACGTCAAACATGCAAGCAAAGCACACAGCACCAAGCTTGTTTGCTGCATGTTTGTGAGACGTGGTTTGTGACATTTCCGTGGCGTTGCTCTATCCAGTTGCATCTCGCATCACCTGCGACAGCAGAGATATTCAACCCGAGGTCCTCAATGCCTCCTCTCATCTCACCGTCCCGTCACAGTCTGTAGCGTATTTTCGCCCGCCTCGCCTGTGCCGTCTGTTGTCGCAGCTGGCCCCGAGCCCGCGCTGACCCTCGCTCCTGTGACCTCGACAGGCCGAACAGCCGCCCCCAGCCGTTGCACTGGCCGCCATGACGTCGCGCGCGGGAGACTCGGCGGCCGCCGTCAGCAACGGCAGCGACCGCAGCGGCAGCGGCTCGCCGTCGTCGCTCAAGAAGCGGATGGACCTGCCGCCGGCCCCCATCGACACCTACTTCACCGACAATCGGGTGGAGGTGCCACCCGGCGACGAGGTTAGCCCGTGGCCGGGTTGGGTCGCGGCAAGGGAGATGTTACGAGATCAGGTCATAGCCGGAGCCGACTAATTCACAGTTAGATGGGAAGGAGACGGTTGAGGGATAAGGCCAGTGCACGTTAATGGAGCGATGAAGGAACGAGATCACGGTAGGGGAGCGGTGAGAGGTCAGGTCACGTCTGGGGAGCATTGACGGGCCAGGTCACGGCTGTAGGAGCGGTGGCGAGGTCAGGTCACGGGTAGGAAGCGGTAGCGCGGTGAGCTCATGACTGGAGCAGCGGTGACGAGGTCAGGTCACAGGTGGGAAGCGGTAGCGCCGTCAGCTCACGGCTTTAGGAGCGGTGACGAGGTCAGGTCACAGGTGGGAAGTGGTAGTGCCGTCAGCTCACGGCTGTAGGAGCGGTGACGAGGTCAGGTCACGGGTAGGAAGCAGTAGCGCGGTCAGCTCATAACTGGAGCAGCGGTGACGAGGTCAGGTCACGGGTGGGAAGCGGTAGCGCGGTCAGCTCACGGCTGTAGGAGCGGTGACTAGGTCAGGTCACGGGTGGGAGGCGGTGGCGCGGTCAGCTCAGGACTGGAGCAGCGGTGACGAGGTCAGGTCACGGGTGGGAAGCGGTAGTGCGGCCAGCTCACGGCTGTAGGAGCGGTGACGAAGTCAGGTCAAGGGTAGGAAGCGGTGGCGCGGTCAGCTCATGGCTGGAGCAACGGTGACGAGGTCAGGTCACGGGTGGGAAGCGGTGGCGCGGTCAGCTCACGCCTGAAGCAGCGGTGACGAGGTCAGGTCACAGGTGGGAAGCGGTGGCGCGGTCAGCTCACGGCTGTAGGAGCGGTGACGAGGTCAGGTCACGGGTGGGAGGCGGTGGCGCGGTCAGCTCACGGCTGTAGGTGCGGTGACGAGGTCAGGTCACGGGTGGGAAGCGGTAGCGCGGTCAGCTCACGGATGACTCAGAATGTCTTGAAGGCATTGAACCTGCCCGTGAGTAGTCAGTTGAATGCGACCCGCTCGGGTTGGGGTGAGGGGTGCGGACAAAAGAAGCACTAAATTCACAAGGTATGTGGGTCTGCACGTGAACACAGTTGTGTCAAATATTGAGATTCATAGGTCAGGTCACCGGCAGTCAGCTTGGTCAGCTTTGTCAGTTTGGTCATGGTCAGCTTGGTAGGTCATGGCCTTTGGTTAAAATAAGGTCGAGCAAGGTCAGACTCCAGATCGGTGTCCGAAGTGCTTCCAGACCTCCTCGTGCAAGCGTCTTTATCTTAGATACCTGCCTCAAGCACAAGGTCAACGGTGTGCCTTTCATGTCATTGACTGTATTTGACCTTTAGAAGCTCGTGTGACCAAAAACCTACGAGATTGCTTTGACTTTTTGATTGAGGTAAGCATGAATGAGTACATTAGGCGGTATGCTCCTTAAAAGAAGAGATTGTTGTGGGTCATTTAAGATCAGTGACCTCCTTTAACCTTCGAAAAGTTCAAATACGGTGCATTTTGACGTCCTTGTGATAAAAATGTGAAGCAAGCGTCAACAGCTGTTCCTTAAAACGAGTTCACCAGTGAAAAAGCAGTCTGTTTAGTCCTCGGTCTGACTTTCACGCCTGACCCAGGGCGTAATCCTAAATTTAATCGGCTAATTATCTACGAAGCTTTTTCAGAGATGTATGTCTTCTAACACTTTTTTGTCGCGTCAGATTGAACAATTTCCCAGGAATTGCTTACGCTGATAGCCATGGCTGATTTTGACTTGCATAGGTCATCGAGCTAAGAAGGTACATGCAGTTTTTGTAAACCAAGAGATCAACATGTGATTTTATGAACTGCTAGTCAACTAAGCTGCAAGTCAGATCTGCTAGTCAACTGTCTACAGCTATGCAAAGTTTGGCGTGGCTACACCGTGCTAAATGGAAAATGTTCTGAAAAACATGGGGGGAGGGGGGGAAATTGATTACTAGCGAAGCGCGTGTTTTTGCAGCAATTGCTCGCTCTTACTTCAATGTTCTATCTGTGTTTTGCTTTGCTGCCGTCCATGAAACCCTATGTGTTTTCGTTTGCGCTCGAATGTCGGCACTGCACAGATCCGCGCAGTAGCACGACCACGTGTTCGGCCCGCACTGACCCGATGCTGATGCCTGCAGGAAAAACTGTTCAGCTTCCGCAAGCTGTGGGCATTCACGGGGCCAGGCTTCCTCATGAGCATCGCCTACCTGGACCCGGGAAACATCGAGTCTGACCTGCAGTCTGGCACGGTCGCCGGCTACAGAGTGAGTCTGACCTGCAGTCTGGCACGGTTGTCGGCGACAGGGTGAGTCTGACCTGCAGTCTGGCACGGTTGTCGGCGACAGGGCGAGTCTGACCTGCAGTCTGGCACGGTTGCCGGCGACAGGGTGAGTCTGACCTGCAGTCTGGCACGGCCGCCGGCTACAGGGTGAGTCTGACTTGCAGTCCGGCGCGGTTGTCGGCCACAGGGTGAGTCTGACCTGCAGTCTGGCACGATTGTCGGCGACAGGGTGAGTCTGACCTGCAGTCTGGCACGGTTGTCGGCGACAGGGTGAGTCTGACCTGCAGTCTGGCACGATTGCCGGCGACAGGGTGAGTCTGACCTGCAGTCTGGCACGATTGCCGGCGACAGGGTGAGTCTGACCTGGCAGTCTGGAACGATTGCCGGCTACAGGGTGAGTCTGACCTGCAGTCCTGGCACGGTTGTCGGCGGCAGGGTGAGCCTGACCTGCAGTCTGGCACGGTTGTCGGCTACAGGGTGAGAACGTCTGAACGCTGTGGTGTGGAGTGTGAACCGTGTCCATAAGTGCCAGGTGAAGACATGGTATCTGTCAGGGCATGTTAAGTATTGGACGGTGCCTAAACAAACCGGCAGGTTGTCGCGCAGCCATTTAGAGCTAATGTTCTTTTTTATTAGCGCGTCGTTTCCCTAGAATTCCCAGAGAACCAGCTGGGGATTTTCGGCTGTAACAAGCATGTGCCTCAGCAAACTAGTGGGTACTGAGCAGTTTGGCGTGGCATGACGCACTTAGTGGGTTAGTTGTTCCTAATGCCCGAACTGCTGACAACGCCTGCCACTCGATATTGTGACAGCCCGTGACCTTGCGTATCCCAGCTGCTGCGGGCACTGGGCTGTATGTCGTATTATGGATGTGTAAGTCAGCTTTTGTGCGTGCCTTCTCCCATTTCAGGTCAGCTGGAAGCTGCTGTGTATTCAGCGGCTTTGGATGCAGCAATACATTCCATTCGGTGTCTAGTTCAGCTTTTCTGAACGCTGTTTGCTCCATTCATCCGCTGTGTTTTTCACTCGCTGTAAATGTTGTTTAGTATTCCATTTACTGTACATGTATTTCAGCCGTAGTGAATATCAGCCAAATTTAGTGCAGATTTCAACTGTTGTGTAGCTCACATGTGGACGTTTGATGTATATCTCAGTCGCTTTATTTATTACTGTGCACCCCGGCTGTTGCTCGTGATGCTGTGCATTTCAGCGCCGTCATACTTACTCGTACTTGGCTGATCGGTTACTCGTGTATGTTTCAGCTACCTTAGGCACAGCAGGTAGCCAATTTGCTGTATACTCCAGCTGCTGTGGGTGCTGTTTTGTATTTAAGCTTTTGCCTATCCTAGCTGTTGTCGATACTGCTGTATCTTCCAGCTTCTCTGTGCGCCATTGCTGTGCCAGACGCTATTGCCGCGTTTTCCACTGTGAGTTGTTCAGTGCATTAGCGAAGAATATTATTCACATAGATGGGACAGTAGTATTAGCCTTATTCCTCAGAGAAAAAAAAAACAGGAGAATGGAGATATACTTGGGTTGATATTTCGGCCGCATGCCCTTATCGAAACAATAGCAGAAGTAATTCACTTTTGCTATTGTTTGCACTGTTGCACAATCGAAACAATCGAACCAGGCTAATACTACCGTCTTATCTGCGTTTTCCACTGCTTCGAGTGTTGTTGTATGCCTCAGCGACTCTACTTCTCAGTATCTGTAAATGCTTCGGAGTATTTCTGCCTTTGCAGGAGCTGCTGTGCACTCGAGCTGCTGTAGACGCTGCTGTGTGTGTTACAACCCTTTTCTGTGTCACATGCTGTGATGGACGCTGCTGCGTATATCTGCTGTTGTAGTCGCTGCTGTGTGTGTGTAACCGCTGCTGTGAACGCTGCTGTGTGTGTTTTACAGCTGCTGTGGACGCTACTGTGCGTGCATGCGTGCGTGCGTGCGTGCGTGCGTGCGTGCGTGCGTGCGTGCATGCGTGGCGCGCGCGCGCGCGCGCGCGCGCGCGCGTGTGTGTGTGTGGTGTGTGTGTGTGTGTGTGTGTGTGTGTGTGTGTGTGTGTGTGTGTGTGTGTGTGTGTGTGTGTGTGTGTGTGTGTGTGTGTGTGTGTGTGTGTGTGTGTGTGTGTGTGTGTTGTGTTACAGCTGTTGTGAACGCTGCTGTGCGTGTGTTATAGCTGCTGTGGACGTTGATGTGTGTGCTTCAGCTGCTGTGAACGTTGCTGTGTGTTTTACAGCTGCTGTGAACGCCGCTGCGTGTGTATTACAGCTGCTGTGAACGCTGCTGTGTGTGTGTTACAGCTGCTGTGAACGCTGCTGTGTGTGTTTTGCAGCTGCTGTGAACGCCGCTGTGTGCGTATTGCAGCTGCTGTGAACGCTGCTGTGCGTGTGTTACAGCTGCTGTGGATGCTGCTGTCGGCCACGATCCTGGGCCTGCTGACCCAGCGTCTGGCCGCCCGGCTGGGCGTTGTCAGCGGCATGCACCTGGCCGAGGTGTGCTACCGCCAGTACCACCCGGTGCCGCGCATCTTGCTCTGGATCATGGTGGAGATCGCCATCGTCGGCTCCGACATGCAGGAGGTGATCGGCACATCCATCGCGCTCTACCTGCTCTCCGACAAAAAGTAAGCTAACCTCGGCTGGCCGCGCGAGCCCGTCGCCGGCGGCGCGGGCCCGTCGCCCGATTTACGCGCCGCGCCAGCTGTGTCGGGGCGATTGTGGAGGGGCGAGCGGGGGGAGAGCGGTGCGGCGAGCTTAAGTCACCGGCGATTCTCCGTCGGTTAGAAGCTGTTGGTTGCGGCAGGCGGATTTGCGTTATTGTTCTCTCACCTGCTTCCTATCGGTTGAGCTAATCGCGTCGGCATGTTGGTTTACTCTTTGCCCGCTATCGTGTATGACTAAGCAGAGCCCAGCTTGATATTTATCAGTGTTGGCACATTCCCGTTTATATCCCCGACCAAGATTTCTACGTATACGAATAACTGCGCAGCATGTCTTGAATAGCGTATTGCTTCTCGTGGATTGCAAAACGCATCCGTACGAATGGCGCTGATGTCAGCCGTGTAACCTGTCTGTCTTCCGCGTTTCAGAATTCCATTGTGGGGTGGAGTGTTGATAACAATCGCTGACACGTTTACATTTCTGCTGGTCGACAAGTACGGCATGAGAAAGCTCGAAGCCTTCTTCGGCTTCCTGATCACCGTGATGGCCCTCATGTTCGGCTACGAGGTAATTGGTGCCGTCAGCCTCCGGCCGTTGTTTATCAGCCCTCGGGCGGTCGCGGGCGGCCCTGGGGAGTGAGGGCGCTGAAGGCAGTGGCGCCTGCCGCAGAACTCCTGCTGTGGCTGCTCCCGAGACTGCCGGATTAGTGTCTCACTGGTCCCCGGAGGATGCACTGCGTGCCGGACTGTGGTGTGTGTGGGAGGAGGGAGGGGTGGGGGGAAACACTCACGGTCGAGGGGGTAGCAATGCAACTTTTAGTGTTTCTTTAAGCGTGCATACAAGAAATATACAAGATAGTAGCAGATACAAAAAAATGCTTGAGCATTTTCCCGAGACCCTTCCCATGCGTACATCGGTGACCGACTGTTCATATACACACCTGCGTATTGAGGCCTAGACGGCCGTTGAAGGTTACCTCGAAACAGGTGGCTAGGTGCCGAGCTGGAAGGGTTTGAATGGCCCAGGTGGCTGATTTCGTTGATGGTGTGTTTAATGCGCATTCGTGCGTTGACATCGACGCCGCGAGAAACCCTCTTAAGAATGACCACCCGCAGGCCACGAAATTGTTGCGCCTATTTCACTGCCATGCACGAGATGATGTGCCGCGTTGTTAAGGGATGCTCAGCCGAGGGTTTGGATGCTAACAATGCACTAAACCCCACGCGCTGCTTGCGTAATACCTCATGCTATGCGTTCACACACAGACGCCGATCAAGCGGTATTGCCGGTAGCTTATGTTTGTGAAATCGATCGCCTTGCTGGTAATGCTTCTGTGGATGTCGTTAACTGTGACACAAGCAGCCATGCGTCTTATATCCATCACAATAAGTGGTTGATAGCACTCTCTCGTTTGCGTTGTGCTCACTGACAGCCAGATGTGACACTTTTTGCCGCCTATCATGAGAGGAAAGTTATTATGGCTATTGTCAGTTCATCAGATGCCCCCTAAGTTTTTTTACTGTGAACAAGTGGCAACGGCGTATCGACTGCTTCGCCTTTCATCATGTACCGTGAGGTGAAATGTGGCCTCCTTGTCCCTGTTTTTTTCTGTTTTCTTCCTCCGATACGAGGTATGCATTCATGTCTTTTGTGTAGATTGTATAATCTGGTCCAAGTTGTTGCTGTAGATTATACTTGAGAGGATTCCTAGGTCATTCCTAAGTCAGATAAGCAAGGCCGCGCGTGCACCACACATGTACTTCCCCGAGATCCCTGTTCCTTTTTGACCGACGCGAACTCGGCCACCACACGTACCACACGTGTTTTTCCACAGTGTAATACCGTTCTGCCTGTTATGCCAGTCGGTTATACCGGTTGTAATACCGGTCTGCCTGTTGTACCGGTCGGTTATACCGGTTGTAATACCGGTCTGCCTGCTATACCGGTCGATTATACCGGTTGTAAACCGGTCTGCCTGTTTTACCGGTCGGTTATACCGGTTGTAATACTGGTCTGCCTGTTATACCGGTCGGTTATACCGGTTGTAATACCGGTCTGCCTGTTAATACTGGTCTGCCAGCGCCCCGTCACGGGCCTGACCCGGCGTCTCCGTCAGGGGTCCTGGGCCCCGCATTGCTTTGTTCCGCATTGTGAAATTATAACATCCAAAAAACAGGCCAGAAACACTGAAAGCACACAGCTTTATGTTTTTGTTTGTTGTGTGCCTCTGTCGTAACTGATTTTACGAGGCTTTAGTGCCGGACGCTTGGCACGCGTCCGCCTGCTCTGACACGTGCGGCGCGTGCCGCCTGCTCCATTACAGGGATGGGCTTACCAAGACGCTTTTTTTAGTTAAAGGTGTACAACGTTCGGCCGCACTCTCTTGATTCATAGGATGCTCCATCTCTTGTTGCAAGGGTTCTGCTGTTACGTGATACAAATTCTACAAGGCTTTCGCATTAGCATGAGCCCTATGAGAGGCAAGTGTGCGGTGCTCTTAGGTACTCTCAACGGCGTTTGCTTTTACGGTTCCCTTTCCCTCTCCCTGCTGCTCTATATTGGTGTTCTGACTTAGACCGAAATCAAAGCGGGAAGTGGCGATGTGCCGGTCGCTAGGAATATATATGGCCACAAAATGACACTTTCTGACGTCAATATGCTCTACCCTTCTTAGGGAACGTATTATAATATTTTTTTAGAAGGCCCACCTCTTAAGCTGGCATGGCTGCCTGATCTGATGCACGTGACTAGATCTAACTCGTGTAACTTGCGTGCTCGTCTGTGTTTTCCTCTGCGTACGGTGCGCGTCTGTCTGTGGCAGTTTGAATGCACTGGTCTGTCATTCTGCCCTCAAACGTGTGACGAGTATCCGTCAGTTCCAGTACCTTTGAAACGAGCATGTTTGCTGCGATGTTTTGTGAAGCGCACCCATTGTCTCCAGTACTTGTGATGCGTCTCCTTCTCGCTCACTATGTATTACAAAACATGTCTGTCTGCTCTAGCACACGCTTCACGCTCGCCTGGTTCAGTGCGCGTGACAACGCGTGCCTGCCTGACAACACGTGCCTGTCCGTTACAGTACGTGGTGGCGGCGCCGCCTCAGGCCGACGTGGTGCGCGGCCTGTTCGTGCCGGGCTGCGCGGGCTGCGACAGCCGCTCGCTGCTGCAGGCCGTCGGCATCATCGGCGCCGTCATCATGCCGCACAACCTGTACCTCCACTCGGCGCTAGTCAAGGTAGCTCTGTCAGGACCTGCACTTCGAACACTTACATAACCTGTACGGCCTCTCGATAGCTCTGTCAGGGAGACTGCCAGGACCTGTCGCCTGAAAGACCCGGCTCCAATCCGGGCAGCCACGTCTTCCGCCGTGTCGCGGGCAGACGTCTTCGAGTCGTTTGCTGCCGCTTGTCCACACCGTGGGTGGGCTCACGTGCGTCACAAAGGCGTGGCGCTGCGGGTCGCGGGCATCACATTGTGCTTAACTTTACACCACGGTCTTCCCGGCCGCTCGAGCCCCTGGGCTTGGCTATCGGTACAGACCACAGGTCAAGTGCTGGCTGGCGCGTGCTTGCCGGGAGTGGCTTCTTCGTAGCGATATGTTGGGCCATAAAGCCTCAAAAGGCGCCAAATCATACCTTTTGCACAATCTATGTTCAAGGCCGAATCTTCAGGGCCCTGATCTGTATGCTTGAAGTGTTTGTCTTGAGCATAGAGTGGCCGTTAGTTCCACTTACGAGATATAACCTCGCCGGGAGGCCAACATGAATGTTTGCCTTGCGATAACATGGGATATGCACTGTTGGCTAGGCATGCATCTGAGGCTGACGACACAATGAAGCTGTGCAGCTGAGATGTCCGTCTATTGTTCTGCGCCATACGGCACGTTGGTCGCCATGTTTTTTAGTCGCTATGGATTGCTGTCAGTGCCTTGTATGCTCAGTCTACTTGAACTAAAAATCATGCGATTGTCGGGTAGCTGGCCATTTTAGTATGATTTTATCTGACGTTTGCACCGTATATTTTTTGTCATTGTCATTTTTGACCGCGTCATTTTCCAGCTGTTCGTCCTACACAGATGGGCTACCTCAAATATACCTTACTGGTCCCTAATGTTTGCAATCTCGTGTAACAGAACCATCCACGATGTGTCAGCTTTCACTGGCTGAGCGACTGGTCGGGGGCCACGCAGCCGGCCTTCATTGCAACAGAGCCCGTCTGCTTCAGTCTCGCAGCGTGGATCGCACGCGCCGCTCGCGCATTCGTGAGGCCAACTACTACTTCTTCATCGAGTCGTGCGTCGCGCTGCTCGTGTCCTTCATCATCAACGTCTTCGTCGTGGCCGTGTTCGCCAAGGGCCTGTCCGGCAAGACCAACAGTGATGTCAACCAGACCTGCGAGTCTGCTGGAAATGCCGTCAGCTCGCTCTACCCCGGGCCTCTTTCCGGTGAGCCTTTGCGCACCGGAAGCGCGTCGTATTTTGTGAGCATGTGGACACTGACAGCGCGCCGGTTTAGGTGACGATTTAGGCGGTGAGCAGAGCCGTATGCAAGATTTTGCAATAATGCTCCATTAAAAATAGGTTCTAGCGCGTTGCATGGACGCAAAAGTTTTGGGATAGCGTGTGAGACCCTGGGATATTTTAAATCTACTTGTTTTTACTGGCGTACCCTGATAGTTTAGTTCCCGACATGTCTTCTAATGCATATTCTTACATAAAAGGATGTAATAAAGGGACCGGGAAACTTGCCCCGGTGCCCCCTCCCCTCCCCCGCCTTGAATACGCCGCTGCTTTCGGGCCCCAAGGGGGCCGCGTCGTTTCAATGTGCCGTGCTGTCGTGAATCCCCAGTATGCAAGTAGCCCGGCTCGTCGCCTCAGTGCGGCCATTCTCATGGCTCGAAAGTGTTTTATTATTGCTGTTAGAAGATAAACTTTTTCCGACGACATTCAGAGAGCTTGCGCAATTTTGTGCATGTGCGAACTGTAGCCAGTCTCGCTTCTTTGAACAAAAAACGACATTCGAAATAATAGGTTATCCGCTGAGTTCCTTCTTGGGTGTTTTTGTGCCACCATCAGTCAGCGTGAACACATTATGGAGTTACCTTTGAAGGAGGTAGAAAGTCCGTTGCTAAGGACACACCCATTTCAACACGATATCGATGTGTGTAAAATGCAGTAGGGTCTAATGTGCACTATCATGAAGCGACTAGGCAGCCTCTACGCGATTGGAGTCCGTAGGCCGCTTTACGATAGTCCATCATTGTGATTTGGAAATAGCCGTCATTTTAGGTCAACAGTTCCTCGTAACTTAACAAGTCCGGCGTAAAAGAAGTCCCACTCTAATTTTGAATTTCTTGAAGGTTCTTTTTGAACTTCCACTTTTGAAATGGCGCGTTACAGCGGCAAAACCGCCCCCCGCCCCCCAATATCGGAAAACCAGCATGTACCCTGTCCGGCTGCTGGGAAGGAAGCGAGGTAAATGTCTCGTTTCTCCCCCCCCCCCCTCCCCCAACGTTTTTAGTGGCCACGCCGTCCCCATGCACTGCAGGCTATCCCAAATACATTCCATGCGAGTGTGTCGTCCTTCGGCGCAATTCGCTTTTAAGCATTCAGTGGCGTAGGGTCTTCGTTCGAGTTTGCCGTTCCCATCAGAGATGACTCACTTGATGACACAGATGACTCACTGTAATCGCGTAGCAGCGGCAGTGTTTCGTCTATCTGGATTGCCTGGATATCTCAGGTCTGGTGGTCCCATTAGGTCCCGGTCCCTTCGGTGCAAGGTCACGATAAACTTCACCGCTTCAAGTGTGTCACATCCAACAGCCACGTGCTTTGTGCCTGTGGTCCATAAATACATGCTTGATGCCACATTAATCTAGTGATACCCAGCACCTCAGTGTGAACGTTTACGTGCTGTGTGAATGTGACCCGCTACTCCACAGTTTTCTTCTGCGTATTGAGGATGCCTTGTCATGGTTAGAAAATCCGGTACGACCCCCGTGGAGCCCTTCGGTGACGACTCCAGATGATGGTAATAATGCGCGGCAATGTTTCCCCTGCTTGGGGAATGGCAGTTCGCGCCGTGCCGGTTGTGTTTCACAGACTCCGTCGCACCGGTCCTGCCCTGCCCGCGGGAGAGTGCGGGAGGCCAGGCCATGCCCTAACCCACGCGCCCGTCGCCACAGAACGACACGAACTTGGTGGAGGCCGACCTATTCAAGGGCGGCGTCTTCCTCGGCTGCCAGTTCGGCGCCGTGTGCCTCTATATCTGGGCCATCGGTATCCTGGCCGCCGGCCAGAGCAGCACCATGACCGGCACCTACTCCGGACAGTTCGTCATGGAGGTCAGCAGTGGTCAGACTCCGGACAGTCCGTGTTGGATAAACACAGGATGCGTAGATGCGTAGTCCGCTATCTTCACCCAACTTTGGGCTGCTCTCGTGATCATTAAGGGGGACGCGATACAGGCAGCTCTCTGAAGTCGTTTGCGGAGATATCGCCGTAGACATATACAGGGGCCGTGGCACCAGTAAGGCAGTTGGGATGTTCGCAGCGGTTCCACTGCAGACGGTTCGTAATGAAGATGATGAGGTTGTATTTCAGACAGTTGTGTTGAGCTCAGTACGTAGTGGGGGTGCACCGGGGATTTACTAAGACAGGCCGCCATGGAAGTATAAACGCAAGGGGCGCATCGCATGAACGACATTTTGGCGTGGATTTATGTGTTGCGCGCAGTATAGACGTGCGCCATGTACATGCATAATGTTCGTATTATAGATAATTGTTATGGAGGTACGTTTGGGTCGCATTACGATCATGGCACCATGCATCTATGCCAGGTCTATTACAGACGCCTTTCACAGAGTTACGCGGTGATCTTGTTGCGCAGTGTTCCGTCAAAGCGGTTGGAATGTAAAGCAAACATGAGACACAACCAAAAAGCCGAACACCATGTCTTTCCATAGGTGTATTTTCTTTTAAAATCTGTCGAGCTTTTTATCGAACTTTCCCGTCTTGCCACAACTTCTCAAGTGCTTTACTTGTCACGGTTTGCTACGAAGATGACGCTGATTTCATTGCAGTGTCCCAGAGTCCCATTTCACAACGCTTAGTGGCTAAAATATCAGGTAAATTCACACTCTCTCGGCCTTCTCGCATAATGCTCTAATTGGTCGGCTACCATGCGCATATTCGGCTGTGAATGTTCTGCCGGCATCATGCCCCTGGGCGGGCCCAGAGCGCGGCGAGGACGGCGCCGGTGGGAGACCGCTGGCCGCCGCTGTGTCGGCGTCATGTGCTGGACAACGGCGTAATCTGCGCGGCGCCCCCCCCCCCCCCCCTCCCCCCACTTGCCCCTCCCCGGCGCGCCGACAGAGGCAGGCACCTGCTGGCACGGGCGCTCGCCGTTCACCGCGGGCACGTGGCGTCCGGCCGGTCATGCTTGCTCAGCACGTTCACAATGGAAGGGTGACTGAGCAGCTGTCACGTGACGACCGCCTGCGCAGGCTGATGGGGAGGGCGTGATGTCGAGTGGTAGGTGGTATTCGACTTACGTGTGGAGAATAAACAGATCGTAGTGCATGGATTCCTTTAGAAGTCGCTGGAGGTGACTCCGGGCTTGCCTGGCAGGGCTTCCTGAACCTGACGTGGCCGAAGTGGAAGCGAGTCCTGGTCACCCGTACCATCGCCATTCTTCCAACATTTTTCATAGCTGTCTACAAGGTACGAAAAACCAAGCTTTCCAGAGGCGTAAGAATGGTGTTTTGCTTTCGCTAAACCCGGCGCTCCACTCGATGCTGTCGTACGCGTGCGTTGCATAATAACACTAAGACTTTGCTGAGCAATGGATGGCAAATTGTCGCCACATAGTGGCTAGATATTGATTTTGTGTGTAGTGTTGTCTTTTCTATGTATTCGTATTGAGCGCGCACAGAATAAGCAACGAGCGCCAATCGAAATCTTTGGATGAGCCTTTGGTGCCACCAAATGAATGTGGCAATGTGGCCCAATGTTTTTAACCTTTTCAAACAGTGTTATGCAGCTTTCTAACTAATGCACAGCTATAAACAAACCCCTGAATAATCGTATGTATGCAAGCATTGTCGCTGATTGGTCTTATTTTCTCCTGTTTGGAGGATATCACTGACGTAATAAACTATTATGGTGAAAATTGTTGGCCTTCAGCATACCAGGAGACACCAGCGAAACGCCAGCACCAAGCAATCAAAAGAATCTATCATGAGAGTGCTCGATGCTTCAAGACAGTCCAAATGGCAAGACAAGCCAGTCACTGCCTTGAAACGTTGAATATTGCCCTAATATACTTAAGTGACTGCAAGTTGTCGTTCACCTAGTACCTATTGGCATGTTGGAGGTCCCTTATTTTCACCATGTGTCGTCGCTCCGACAGGACATCACGGACCTGACGGGCATGAACGACCTGCTGAACGCGCTGATGAGCCTGCAGCTGCCGTTCGCCCTGCTGCCCACGCTGACCTTCACCAGCTCGGAGCAGGTCATGGGGGAGTTCCGGAACGGCCCGTGAGTTGGAGCGCCACCCAACGCGGGAACGCGGATGGGTCTGGGCGTCCCCACCTGCAGACTTGCATCGTGATCCTGCGGAATGTTTGCCGATGCGACGTACGTACCGATGATTTAAAACTGGTGTGCGTTTTTATTTCCACACTGTATTGCTGTCTCCAAAGGAGTGCCAGTGCTGAAATTACCATGAGCATAGCTCGGTGCATGCGAAGTGATGGCGAGTGAGAGTCCAGTGATTAACATCCGTCGGCCACGCGGTGTCATCTGATTCGTGTCGTCTGTTTCGCGCTGTCTGGACCATGAATGCTCGCCGATCACCGCTCCCCAGCTCAGCACCACGCCGCTGTCATGAGCATTTCAGGTGCGCGCTAGGCTTTCCATTTCATTTTTGCTGCTAGTGGGCAATCCGCGCGGCTAGGCTACGGTGCTGGGGCAGGGCACGCGCCATACGTGTAGCTAGACAATCTAACGGCAAACATCAGGATGCGTCGGCAAATATTCTAGGTTCCTCCGCATTCCTGCTCGCCAGCGTATGATATCGGGATTTACCTATGAAATTGCATGTCGCGGCCAATTCCCATGGTCTTACCGTCCAACGTGTGGCCTGCCCTTGTGGTTTGTGTGGATTTACCTGTGAAACTGCTTGTCACCTACCAATTCTCATTGTTTTATCGTTCACATCGTGGCTTGTCCACATTACGCGGTATTATCCATTGATAACGTTGAAGTAGCTTTTCTGAACTTGTTTTTCGCTTTTTTGCGGCATTTCACTTGTTAAGTTAATCCCGAGCCAACACTTCGCCATGACTGTAAAAAGCGACACGTGTGGTCTTCGCTTGCCTGTGTCCATGGCAGCCGGCCTTCTTTGTTACTGCTGCGTATTTGCTCAGTGAAACTGAAGCATTCCACGCTCTTCGCTTATAGATAAGTATACCAGCAGCAGTGGGGCCGCTCTTCGCCGTGCCAGGCTCGGTCCACGAGACTCGAAGCTGCGCGTTTGCCGCTGAACGGCGGCGCTGACGACGCCCACGCACTGACAGGAGGCGTCCCTCGCCTGCCCTGACCCGCGTGCCACGCCGACAGGGTCATGAAGGTGCTGGCTAGCATCCTGTCGGTGGTGGTGGTCGGCATCAACGTCTACTTCGTGGTCGACTACGTGAAGAGCACGCTGCCGGCCGTGTGGTGGGTGGACCTGCTGCTGGCGCTATACGGCTTGTTCTACATCGGCTTCATCGGCTACCTCACGGCGCTGCTGTACGGCGTGTTTGGCGGCCCGGGCTTCGACCGCATCAGGGTGAGCAGGTGGACAAAGCGGCGCCGTCTTCAGGTAGCTGGCGAGACCCGACTGATGGGGAGACCGGTCTTCAGAGGGGCTCGTGGCAGGGCGCCCAATGCCAGCTAACCCGTCAAGGAGTTTTACCTGGTACACCAGCTAAACCTCCTTTACCACCAGCTAAAACTCCGACAGCCATCCGCTAATCGTATGAGATTAGCGGATGGCTGCATGTTGTCAATATTTCAACGAATCGAACCTGCATGTGTTTCTCATATCTCTTTCTCACGAAATTCAATTCTCACTGCACCAGGTGTCCATTTGTGTGTTTCGTTGAACCTGTTTTACGACCGCTTCTCGAAATCATTCGTAACCACAGTGTTGGGTCCGTCTGCAATTATTTTACGATCTCTACGATGTTCTATTACCTGTATCATGTTGGTTTTTGGAGGGGTTTTTAATGGCATGGGATGACGTAGTTACCGGGGAAACAATTTTGATACCCGTTAACTTGTTTTTAGTCTAATGACAATAAAACCTCATTATTCCTGCTGGTGTGCATTCCATTGTATCCTGCTTATTGTACTCTGGAGCTATGCGTTTGGCCCGTTCCCTGCTTTCACCGCTTTTCATGTCACCATGCAGCGAGTAGTACGCTTTTCAGTGGGGCGTAGCAGTCGCTTTGTCGTTTTGGTACGTTTAGTAATCGGAGACAGGTTTCCGTGGCTACGTGAGTGTACACCAGACAAGCTCTGTGGGGCCTAGCGGACAGCTGATGGGATTATGGACCGTGCCGTGTCGGTGAATGTACTCCCAGTGTCCCGTCACGAGGCTGGTCTCACGAGGCTGGTCTTCTGAGAATATGTCCCGTGGCACTGTCCCATGCCACGCAGCTGGCAGGCAGTCTGTGTTGTACGCGATGACAGCGTGTAGCCAGTGCAGAGATCACGGGCGTCATCATCGCAGATCGCCTATGACCTGATCTGACTCAGGTGGCGCCTACTTCGCCCTTGATCAACATAGCCTGACCTGGCTCAGGTAGCTTCGACCTCGCCCTCAATCACTACTCGAGCCGTCCTGAGAGGCTGCGGCACTCGGAGCGCGTGCCGACCTCGGCGAGCGACTCACGACGACTTTATCATGACTGCACTCCTACGAGCCTGTTAGCACATTTCCTGTATTTGGTCAGGAATCCAGTAGAAGTCCAGGTATCCAGTGACCCGTCCTCTAATTTAGTTAGTCTTTGGGCTGTTGATCGGAACGTAAGAGCATTATAATAAATGATGAGAAAATTCGCTTTGAAACCCTGAGGACCACCTGGAAAAGCTACTAAACTTGTACAAATGTAGTGGCAGCCTCAATCGGCACATAACCAATATCTGATCCCCAGGACACTCACGTGAAATAACCTGGCACTTATTTAAAAACATACAAGTGCTGGCGGAATTGGCACTGAATGCATCTGCAGCACATATCTAAACTTATTAAGTATTTTACCGTCCTGATTGTAAGTTCCCATAGCGGTGTGTTTCAAGTGGGATTAGATGCATTATCTACCGTACAATTACCACTACGTTTATCCACTGTCACTTCTTGATTCGGCCAATGTGCTTTATATGCAAATTCGTCGTGCAAAAGAAGCATAGTTTAAACGTCAGGGTGAGTTAAGGGACGACCACCGCACTGGGCCCCCGCCGTTTAAGAAATCGCGGTTGCACGCCTGGTGGTCAACGCACGTTGTCAGCTTCTAATAATCGACGACAAGGACCGCGCCAAATGCGATCATCGTAACCCTGTCAGTGTTGTTTCGACTCGTACTGTCCTTTGTGACTCGGCTCGTGGACGCGTGAGTACCTCGAGCCCGCCAGTGACTGGGCTGTGCCTGTCGTGCTCGCTTGTAACAGGCTGTGAGCAGGGGCTGGCTCGGGTACGAAGAGATTGCCAGCAGCTAGAGCTGACGGCCCGTAGCGGACGCCGTGGCTAGCGCTGCGTGAGTGCTCCACGTCGCCTGCATTGCTGCTGATTTCGCAACTGGGGCTCGGGCGCGGGTACTGCACGATACCGCCTGCTCGCTGCCGCTGCTGCGGTGACTGTCCGATGGCGTGGGTGCTTCGCGGTTTGGGCTTAACTGGCTGGCGTTGTTTCGCGGTTTTGGCCGCTTCGGTTGTGGTGATGCGTGTTTAACCGGCATGCATAATGATGGGAGAGCATGGCAGCGATTCAAATTATGTGCGCGTCTGTGACCGTGGATGATATGAGTGCGCGTGTTTTGACGTGCAGGGCGCAAGGAGTGTTCGCCGCCGCTAGTGCAGGTGTCCCGTCAGTGTTAAGTGCGCCGACCTGTTGCTAGCGCGCACGGCTCTTTGCATGGGCAGCCTTCACCCGCCCTCGTTGCTACAGATAGTTTCCAGTCCCCACTCGTAGCCTCGGAGATTATCACGTCCCGCGGCTCGAGGCACACTCCCCGTTCCCCAACAAAACGCTCGTCCTCTCTCGCAGACACTGGTCGTGTATAACGACTCGTCCAAACGACACGACTGGGACGACCCAGAGGTAGATGAGCCGGCGGCGGCGAGCGCGCCCGGAGCCAGCAGCTGGCCTGACGCGCAGTAGCCGACAACCGCGCCCGCTGGCTGCCGACGTGGCCGGCGTCGGTACCGAGACGGGGCCGAGCCGGTCGGCAGGGGCCCGGCAGACCCGGCACGTCCGGTCGTTAGACCTCCGCCGACCGCCGGGGCCGGCCGCCGTCGCCGCGGCCGCCGGCGCCCCGACGCTCGGCGTTCCCAGCTAGTCCTCGTCAACAGATCTGCAGCAGTGAGCGCCGCCAGAAGCGGCCGGCTCGTGCAATTGTGACGGCGCGGGCGGCGTCGGTGAGGGCGCCGGCGCCGCCCCGCCCACCGAGAGACGGCTGTGACGGCCGGCCGCGTCCGGACTGGGCGGTCGGCCGACTTCGCACCGGGGCGGGTCTCGACACCCCCTTATTCCGCGTGAAGCATGTCTGCGCTGGCGCAGTGCGCAGAACGCATGGACGCTCTCGCGGCATGCTGTCACATTCAGCCGTGGTAAGCGAAGGCGAAATTGCTGGCCCAATGCGATCGGCTGCTGTCTTTGCTCCCTGAGGTGAGCGTGATCAGCGTGGCTGTGTGGATGTCCATGGCAGCTCGGTCACCTCCGCGCTCGTGATCTGACCGTCGTGTCTGATAAATTGGTGCCTTGGGGATCAACGTATGACAGAGTGTTACAATGAAGTGTTGTACGTCACGTCAAGCTCCCATTGTAATGTTGGTTTTGATAAGGACGTGCTTACTGTTTTAGTCGCATTTACGTGACTCTGGGGAAGAAATACAACTGGTGCAGACAGATTATATAACATGTGATAGATGCGTGTGCATAGTTGGTCCGAATACGCAATCAGTTACTTTCGACATCCCATTTAAGACTTGAAAATAATATTGCCCCGCGGGCCAAGGTTTTGTTGTGTTTCTCAAACCGTACAGGTGCAGGAAATGTGCTGGTTAAGGCTCAAGGTTTTATGTGCGTTTACGTTACTCTGGGGAGAAATACATCTGGTGCCGATTGATTGTATAACATGTGATAGACGTGTACGTGTCTTTGGTCCGAATACACAATCAGTTACTTTGCGCATACCATGTAAAATTTGAATGCAATGCAGCCCTGCGGGTCTTAAACCGCACAGGTTCGGCAGGCGTCCCGGCTGAGGCTCGATGGCAGTGACCTCCTTTCACCTGAGGGAGCAATAAACCAGCGACTGGAATGTTTTGACTCGAGTCGCAAATCAGCGCTTGTGACCATCTGTCGGTTTGACGCTCACGGTGCTGTACTGGAGCAGGCAGGGGTGGTAGCTCCACACTCGTAAGCCCTCGCCACTTTACAACTCATTAGCTCATGAGCTACCCGTCTGGACTGAATGTCCATTGGCTCACTCCAAGGTAAATGTCATGCGGCGTGCTTATGAGATCGACCAGTCAATAGCACCGCATCCCTCATGTTTGAACGACAATGTGTACAACAGGCGATCGCAAGCGAACTATCCATTTCGTAAAATTTCAACACATGCAGATGAACGGTCTACGGGTTTGAGCCTCAGGCATTTTGGAAGGTCGCACGGCAAAGATGTCTTTGGTGGCGTATTACTCAGTGCATACACGTGTTAAATGCATGAAATGTCGGCTTTTAAACTGGTACTCGTCGGAGAACACGGTCTAGCTTCGACGTAAACTTTTACGACGTAAATTTCCACTAAGCGACTTGGTGACCCAACGCTACGTGACACAAAATGAATCCAATCCAAGATCCATCGAAGCGACAACTTTGACCATCAAAATTTCTCATCGCATCCCTTAAATATGGTGAAGAAATAACCTTGAGCTCCAACAGAACTGGCCTGTTTGTTGTCAATGGAAAGACGTGGGTAAGTAGATCGCAGTGACGATCAGAGGAACTCTTGTAAGCACGGCTGACGGTTGACGGTAAGCACAGTTGATGGTCCTTTTGGGTGGGCCACTGGGCCATGCAATGTTTAATTTGGCAATCAAGCATTTAACGTCACCATCAACATGTAAGAGCCCAGATACATTCAAGACCATAAATGTGTTTGGTATAGAAGGTGCAGGGGTTGTGCGGAATAAGGCAAGGAGCGCGGCCGAAAGGGGGGCGGGCACCCCCGATCCTAGGGTATGCGCGGGCACCCAGTGCACCCGTCTTGCTGCGGACCTGATGGATGACATCACCAGATGTGCTTAAAGTATTGCAGCCAGGCGCTGGAGATTGAACAGAATTTTTGTGGTCACTGTGTGGCTGCTTGATCAATGCAGATGGAATTCACCGAGTGCTGGGGCTGATGGGCTCAGCATTGAGCACCACGGCTCCCCTCCTTTGCACCAAGCAGTCCAGTTTTCACTGCTGACTCGCTAGAAAACCGCCTTTATCAACTTCTGAACAATTTTGTATTTTTTAACCCATGAGCCATGACATATGACGTTCATGACTCACACGCCGAACACTTGATTGTCTACGGTATCAATTATGACTCGTCATTGCGTGCAATTTGTATATTGATCTGAGTACGTACAGCCGTTATTTCAGCGCGTCAGCAGCAACTTAATTATCATTTTGGACGTTGATGACCCGTGAGTCAAAACGCTCACGAGCCACATGTTCCATGCCTGTTTTGCTTCAACATATTAATTAGTCGCGTGTAGTAGAATGCGCTTTATGTCAGTTGAATTTACGTGCATTATTATTGCTTGAACAGCTGATAATAATAAAGTACACGCAGTGATCACTGGGTAACGACACACGAACTCTGCGCATTTCTTGTTCACTTGGCTGCGGTAAACGGGGTGATCTTTGTAAATGGACTCATCGTAAACTGGTGTACTATCAAACGTGGTCAGGGTTAGTAAAGGTGGATTTTCAGCGTCTCAGCAGCCAGAAATGGTCAGTGTTGTTTTGTGTCGAGCCCTGGTACACAATGGTCATAATCTACATATCCCATACTTGTTTGCTTCCGGTAAGTTGACTCTCCGCGTTGGATGGTCAGCTTCCTGTTGGAATTAGACTCTAAGAAGTTTGTATCTGGTGTGCCAGCACCCAAAAGCATGAATTTTCAGAGAGAGAGGAGAGAGAGAGAGAGAGAGAGAGAGAGAGAGAGAGAGAGAGAGAGAGAGAGAGAGAGAGAGAGAGAGAGAGAGAGAGAGAGAGAGAGAGAGAGAGAGAGAGAGAGAGAGAGAGAGATACATATATATATATATATATATATATATATATATATATATATACATATATATATATATATACATATATGTGTGTTGATATTTCGTCAACATGCCTTTAGGGAAACAAATAGCAGAAGTAAATGCCAGGAATAAGACTCGCGCAACTGGCTCACACAATCCTGGCTAGCTTCCCTCCAATAAACGACCACAGTGCGTTCATTGGTGTACTTTGCATTGTCATATGTGTAAGCAAAATTGCTGGCGTTTCAACAGCCCAGGGACAACAATTTTGAACTTCATTGACCCCTGGGGCACGTGCGTAAGATCTGCATTCAAGATGCTTGTTTGCTTTCTGTAACTGGAATACGAAACATCATGTTCTTTTCAGAGCTTGTGGCACGAAAAACGGTTTTGAAAGTGTTTTTGAAGAAAAAAATTGCAGGAGTACGTCGGCAGTTGCCTGAAGGAGGACACCCGATCCCCTCTCGCTATCACCAATGAATCCCCTTCAAAATAGGCAGTGCAGGGAGGGTTATAATCAGAGTCGCTTTAGGTACGGAAGTGTGTGTGTGTTGTGTGTGTGTGTGTGTGTGTGTGTGTGTGTGTGTATGTGCGCGCGCACGCGCGCGCGCGCGAGTACCGAGTATAGCGCGCGAGTAGTAGTATCTAGACCGAACGGTAGATGGCAGAGCGTCTCGCGGAGGACGGAAATACAGTCTAGTTCCGACGGCCTTGGTTCCGACCGCCGACTCGTGTACACCCTCCCGGAGACAGACTCGAATATGGCACAGCCGACAGGATCAGTGGGAATCGATCCCGCCTCCGTTCCCCTGCCGGACGACATGGACGACCCTGTGACTAGTGCCGTGCCCCGGCGAACGCGACTCGTGCCAGACTCGATGACAAAAGACGCCAAACCGGAACGATTGGATCTGACCAGTGACCGCGAGCGACGTACAGCAGATGGCGACAGAGATGGGATGACCACGCGATGTTGTCGGACTTGAGTAGCAGGCCGCCAGCCCTGCAGCTGGCGATTCTCCGGTCGTGCCTCTCGGACGAGATCCTGATTGTCTCGGCCAGCTTCGACATCCCTGCTTCCCAGCGATCGGACCTCTCCGTCGTCCTCTCGCACCTGGACGGCTACGCTAGCGGCCAGGTCATTGAGGTCATTCAGAGGCGCACATTTAATATGTGCACCCAGCAGGGGGACGAGTCATTTAATGGCCTCTTCACCCGCCTCCGTGACCTCAGCCGTGAGTGCGGATTTTGCGATGTCTGTCGTGACAGCCTGATCAGGGACCGTATAGTCGTGGGCCTGCGCGACCCGGCGACTGTGCCGTCCCACTCCTGTCATTGCAGCAGGCGATCCAGATCTGCCGCTCCGAGGAGGCTGCGGCGCGTGACGTCACGGAGATCATAGGCGGCGAGGCCGACGCCGTGTCAGCGTGCCGCACCTCGCCCGGTCGACCGGCGCGCCGGCCGCCCTTCGGACCCCAAGACTCCGCACGGTGTCAACTTCCAATCGCAGAGCCCCACCCCTCCCCGCCGAGCGTCGGGTGGGGGCGCCCCCGAGCGAGAAATGGACTCCGCGCGCCCGGTCTGCAGAAACTGCGGCACCCGTCATGCACGATCTGACTGCTGCGTGGCTGCGGGTCGGGCGTGCTACAACTGGGGCAGAACGGGTCACATCTCCAGGATGTGCCGCAGCGCGCGCCAGTCACATGAGACATCTGCCTCTGCGGTTACGCTCGCGACCGCATCAACGGGATCCGCACCGACTGTCAGCGTGTTCGTGTCAGGTCGTAAGACGGCCAGGATGACGGCGCCTCCGGACACCGGAGACGACGTGTCAGTCGCTGGGTTAGACTTTGCCGAACTCATTGACGAGATGAACGATAATCTTCAGCCGCCGTCGACCCATCACCGCGCTGCGGACGGACACGTGACGCGCTCGCGCGGGAGTCTGCCCGTCCGAATCATCCTGGATGACGTAACGGTGTCTGACACGGTGCATATCATCCCAGGAGTACCACGACTCCTCTCGTGACGCGCTACCGTCCGTCTTCATATTGTACCGGCCGTTTACCCACGGCAGATAAATGCAGTCAGGCGGGGTGCCGGACCGCCCGGCGCTGCCGCTTGTCAGCCGCCGCCGCCCAACCCAGCTGCGGCTGAGACGCGCGCGCCGCGCCGCAGCCAGCCCTCCCGTGCCGAAACCGGAGACGAGACGGGACACCGCGAGCGCCCGGCAGGGGGAGGGACCGTCGGACGGCCGACCTCCGACGACGGAGACGGCGGAGACGGGCCGGCCCGCCCGTCCTCAGCGGACCACACCGCCCGATCGGGGCCGCCCTTTACAGGCCCCTGGGCAGCACGCAGCGCCCCCAAGCGCCTCAGAGCTGCCTCACGGTCACATCTCTTCCGACGTAACCGAGAATGCAGCGATACTCCACGAGTTTTCCGATGTGTTGGACGGCAAGGTACGAACCATACCGGGAGAAGAATACCAAATCCGTCTGCGAGAAGACGCCACCCCCTTCACCGTGCGCTCGCCACGCAGGGTGCCGATAGCTCTGAGAGAGCCCCTGCGCCACGAGCTCGAAAAACTCGAGCGTGACGGCATCATCGAGCTCATCACGGAGCCAACTGAGTGGTGCGCGCCCATCGTAGTGGCCCCTTAGAAGGACGGCATGGGCATTCGGCTGTGCGTAGACCTTTCAAAGCTGAATAGGTCCGTGAGGCAGGAGCTAACACGCCCGCTGAGTGTGTCGCATCTATCACAGCGTCGGACGCTAAATGGTTTAGCGTGTTCGACGCCACCAAAGGATACCACCAGTGCCCTCTGGACGAAGACAGCCGAAACCTGACGACGTTCATTACACCATTCGGGCGCTACCGCTATCT